TATTTTATTTTTCATTGTACATAGGTTTTTTTTATTATTATTTAGTTATTATTTTACTTTTGTTAATTTTATATTTTCTTTATATATGGTGTGAATGTGTTAATTTATCAATATAATTATTGTCCACGAGACAGAATATAATATGTCTAAATAAATAAATAAATGAATAAAAAAAAGTACGCAAATGTTTTTAAATAAATATTTCAAGATACAGTCCACTTTTTCTTTTGTTAAATCACAATTAACTCAATTTTAATAATAGATAGGCTTCATTCGTAGTTTGAACTAAACTAAGAAGGAGCTTATAATATATTTAAATATACAATTTTATTATGTAACTATTACAATTATTGTCTACAGTAATTGCTTATAGCAATCAATAAAAAGGATAGCATGAAAAGATTTAAATAAAAAAAAAATCCTTACTAGAATGTAATCAACTTGAAGTTTTTTAAGTTTTTTTTTTTTTAATCGGGAGACATGATAAAATTTAATTCTTTCCTCGAAGTTCTGGGTTAATTTAAAAAGTAGCCGGCCCGGCGGAGAGGACCTGATTGAGTTGCTGCTGGAAATTAAAGGCTGGAATCGGTGGTGGATTTAATGTATTCCCCGGATCTCGAAGAAGAAGGGACTTATACAATGGAAGTTAGTGCAAACGCAAACTTTTTCCATAGAAAGGGTAAAGAAGCCAGGGCCGAATCTTTATGTTTCCTCAGAGAGGCCGCCCGCACTTTATGAGTCGGGAATTTTAAAGCGGCTTCAGGAAAGTTCTCTTCGTATTAACTTAAGTGGCCTATTACTGAAGACCCTTCCAAACCTTTCCCTTATTCCAAAATCATACAGATTATACTAGTACAGTCTCGAGACCGCGCACGCTTGTCTTGTCATTTTGTAATTTTGGTCTATACCGTTACTACAAATGTCTGAAATTTTTTTTTTTTTTTTTAACTGGATTACTTCCTTATTGATAAATATTACAATCTGTCTCAATAAAGGACATTTATAATAGAGTTCAGAGAGCACATTCACACCAAATTTACAAAATCGAAAAATTAATAAAGTCATTTTAAAATAATATACATCGAAATAAGAAAAAAATAAAATATCATAATCAAGGAAGAAAATATAAATAATAGTAATAATGAAATAAAAATAAACATCTTAGACGCAGGCATGCCTATTGACACTATTTGCAATCGGTCATGTGAACTCCGAACTAGACTTGCCCCCCCCCACTTGTAGAGGAAAAAGCGAGGCTTCAGAAGATCTCTGCTCTTCTCCCTCAACCACTTCACTGGTATTAAAAGCCAGCGGAGGCTGAGTAATGGCGCTACAACCTCAGACGCGATGTTACAAAAGATCACGGGGCCACTGCCGTTTTAACCTGCTAGGAGGATTGTACGGATGGGTGGTGCTAGATAGGGACTGCGCTACGATATTAGGGTGATGGGCAAGCTTCTAATGAAATTTGGAGATTTGTTTGGGATAAGATCAAGAATAAATGGAATATTAAGGTGATTATGCAATGTTTTATTGGTGACATAGAAGGGAACATCGACTATTGTACGGAGGACTTTAGTGCGTATAAGGATTAAATGCGTTTGATGTTAGAAAATTTGGTTGTCCCCCACAGTTTCAGTCCGTAGGTAGAGATGGGTTTTAGTATTGTCTTGTAGAGATCGTGGCCATAACGTCGGTTAAGTTCCTGTCTTTTCAGTCTAGTATGCGGATTCCACGTTATTAAAAATTTAATTAAGACTATAGTTGAACGTCTTTAGAAAATGGCGATGCCGACCAAATTGACCATTAATCAAAGTGATATTTTCAATTGTCTGAAAAAAATAATTCCAGCGTGCTTAGAAATGGATGCTATATCTTCGTAGATCATATTAAGCCTATAAAAAATCTCCTTGATCTGGAACATCTGTATCCAAAATTATCCGAAAAGCACTTTTTTTATCTGATTTCGTTGTTGTTGTTTTTTTCGTTAATAATTTCGTTTTTATTCACAATAAGCCACTACAAAATTGTATTGCATGGAGTTTTAACAGAAATGTGTAATTTTATAGATGTCATATCAGTTCATAGAAAGTTATGAAAGAATAAATTACAAAATTATTTTAAAAAATATTATTGACTAAAAACTTTTATATATTATTCTCTTTAGTAAAAGTACAATTCATAAATAAAAATTGTGAGGTAACATGGAATCGTGATATATCATAAATTGAGTAAGTATACCTTAAGTAGAAGAATGGGCTGAAATGCGACATTTTAAAAAAAAAGAAAATGAGGCATTAATTTAGAGTAAGAACAGAAACAAAAAATTACAAATAATATTAAATAAAAACATAATAATAATAACAAAGGGAGGGAAAACAGAGGATGAAAAGTTTCGTCAAGAAAAGGAAAGAAGGGGAATTTTCTTAGCTTTTACGCTCGTACGCACACGCATCTTACACTTGATTACTTTCTGAGAAACCCTCATCTTGTTTCATATAAATAAAATTGTAGTAATGCATGAAGATTCAGCCCCCCCCCCTTTCAATCAATATATTCGTTGAGAAACAACGAACGAATACTCTGGAAACTAACCTTTCTTCAAACGTCTCACTTAAGAGAAGTGGTGGACCTCCGATATTCAAAATTTGAAAAAAAAAATCTTATATTTTCAAGTGAATGAACATATGTGAATCCAGTTCATATATATTATGCATTTATTGGGTTTTCATCTAATGTTGTTAGTAGTTTTCCTGAACACACAATGTGATTTAAATTTTCCGGTAACCCGAACACCCACCTACAGATAGGTATAATCAATGATTTCAGATTACAGAGATTATAAAATAAATATTTTACATTTTCAGGAATAAAATTTAAATAAACAAAGCCTAATGATAGATTCCGTTTAAACAATCTGATGTTAATTTCAGTCAATATTTAAACTTTATTTTCATGATAAATTGTAATTCAATTTAAATTATTTTTTTTGTTTATTCCTATCTATTCAATAATAAATAAAAAACAAAACAAATTTATGTCAGTTTTAACCAAATTTATATATATATATATATATATATATATATATATATATATATATATATATAATATATATATATATATATATATATATATATATATAATAAATTATATACTCAGGCCATTGTCATTGGTTGCAAACCCCTCATCAAATCGAATACCAACATTCCTATTCCTCAACTAGCACCTAAATAACCAATTACCATATTTCCCACATCTCTCGACGATCAATTTGTATCCTTAAACTCGCTTCCTCAATCTCCTACCTCTCCACAAGATCTCGTCCTTCTGACGTTTACACCTCTTTCCATAGATCTGCTTCATTTCAACATTCCTTTATTGTCCGCTCCACCACTTTTTGCTAATCCACCCTACTTAAAATCCGTTATGCACCATCCTAATCCACATTCAAAACTCTCTTATTCCAATTCCTCTTCACAATCCAATCAGACGCTGGTTAATTATGTATTGGCTTATTATATATAAGTTCTTAAGTAACATATGTTTTTATTAGTCGTGTTTCACGTTGTGAAAAACCAGTAAAATTTATTTTCGTCTCTGCAATTGTTTTCACATAAAATTAATTTAATGCCCCTTCCTAATTGTATTTATCTACTTATTTTTATTTTCTATCTCTTATGCCTGGATAATGCAATGTTGTGATCCCGTCGCTCATCTTCTGTCATTAATGTATTTTTAATCTATGCATATATTTTGTATGTTTAAATAGTTTATTGTTTATTTTTTAACATAAAAGGTAAATACTTTTTATTTACTTGCTTTTGATATTTTTTCTTTTAATGGAGGTTTTGCTTTTTCTTTCTATACGTGTATTTTTTTTTCCCCTGTACAAATATAAGTAAAGTTGAGAAGATTTTGTTTTATTTTTTAGTTGTTTACATAATATTATTTAAGTTATATATTGTTTGAATCTTTGTTAAGTTAGTTTTTGGCAAGATATGCATTTTTTTCTTTTGTAACTATTCTGTTATATTTATATATATAAATCATATTAATCCGGCCAGGTAAATGCTGTTTTAATTAATTTACTCATAATTACATTTTATCGTATTTAATCTCACTGCATGTGATTTAGTTTGTTTTCGGTTCTGATGATGCATGAATTGGAATGCGAAAAGTTTCGGTTTAGTTTATTTACCAGCATTTTAGAATCTCGAGGCTATATATATATATATATATATATATATATATATAATATATATATATATATATATATATATATATATATATATATATATATATATATATATAGCCTCGAGATTCTAAAATATATGTATATATATATAAATCATATTAATGCGACCAGATAAATGTTGTTTTAATTATAGTTCCATTGTATTATATTTAATCTTGCTATATTTGATTTTTTCTTTTCTGTCCTGATGATGCATGAATCGGCATGTATATGTAAATAAAGCCTAAATACTCTGAAATGCAGGTAAACAACCTAAACCGAAAACTTTTCGCCAATTCATGTATCATAAGGATCGAAAACAAACTAAATCACATATATCGAAATTAAAATGTAATTATAATAAAATTAAATAAAGTAGCATTTATCTGTCCTCATTAATATGATTATATTAATTAATTAAACCATTACTAATAGTAGTAAAGCAATGAAATTTTAAAACAAAATTAAAAACCCTTAGGAACATTGAAGGTTTGTATATATACAAGGAAAGAACTACAAGGTCTGTAAAAACAACCGAATATATATATATATATATATATATATATATATATATATATATATATATATATATATATATATATATATATATATATATATATATATATATATATATATATAAATGAATTGGGGTAGCTCTGTGAGTAAGAGCTGGGCTCCTATACTCAAACAACCATATATTTCTTAATTGGCTTGTTTAAGTATACTTCATTAATCGTTAATTTCAGATTACAATGTCAATGCTTACCAGCTGCGACGACTTGGTAAACGCAAGGAGTCTTCTGAAGCCCTACAGCATTGGTCCCCCAGCAAGAGAGCGTTCCATAATCCATCTCTGAGACCGGGGTGTAGTTGAGGGTGGACACGGTCCCTGAGGCGGTGTAGCGGGCCGGGGGGACTTCTGCCTGCTCCCCGCTGTTGTTGAAGGTCCACTTGAAGGTGACCAGAGGGGGGTTGGCATCCACCTGGCACTTGAGTGCCACCGTCTCCTGCTTCAGGGCACCGTATAGCTCCTCCTTATCTTCTTTGCAAGTCGGCACGTCTGCAAAATAAAGGGAATACCATTATCACATTTTCCTATGGACAAAGATAAAGATCCCTAATCACAATCACTTAATAGTTATAGAGTTCTATATATATATAAATATAGAGTTGTATTGAAATTCCAACAACATTTTTTTGTTTATTTAATGAAATTTACAACTGTATACAAATACAACTAGTAAATATGCACAAATTATAAATAATGACATGAACAGGCTTGAAGAGATACTACCCAGTGGCACTCTCTAAATAATTCTAAGTACGAATATCACGAGGCCATCTCCTTTTCAGTCGCCTAGGAGGATTATCAGGGATCGAGGAAGAAGCAAGGGTGGAAACAAGGGGATTTGGATGGGACTGGAGTTTGTCATGAAAAGATAGATATCTGGCTCGGGCTAAATCTGTGACATATGGTACATTAAGGTCTTTATGAACGGTTTTTGTGACAAAGTATGGTGCATTAAGGATTTTACTTAGGATTTTGGGTTGTAAGGATTGGATACGATAGGAATTCGATGGTTTGGTGGAGCCCCGAAGCTCAATTTCGTATGTCCATATAAGTCTTATTATAGTTATGTAGTCTTTTGTAATTAATTGAAAGTATTCGTATTGAAAGTATTAACTTAAGTGGCCTATTACTGAAGACCCTTCCGAACCTTTCCCTCATTCCAAAATCATACAGATTATACTAGTACAGTCTCGAGACCGCGCACGCTTGTCTTGTCATTTTGTAATTTTGGTTTAAACCGTGACAACAAATGTCTGAAAATTCTTCTTTTGTTTTCTGTTTTTTTTATTTATTCATGATATTTACAACTGTATTAATAAATAAAATTCATTTAGTAAATTTGATAGACAGAAAATAATAACGTGAAATCACTTGTTGAGAAACTCTAAAATCAAAATCTATTTACAATAGGAGATCTTGAGGCAATCTTCTTTTCAGACGCCTCGGAGGATTATCAGGGATAGAAGAAGAAGCAAGGTTAGAGAGGAGAGGATTCGGATGGTTCTGAAGTTTATTATGGAAGGGTTGGGCTAAATCGAAAACATAAGGAAAATTAAGGTCATTATGGATTATTTTATTGGTGACAAAATAAGGAGCTTTGAGGACTTTTCAAAGGATTTTGGATTGTAAGAATTGGATACGATAGGAATTCGATGGCTTGATGGAGCCCCAAAGCTCAATTCCATTGGTCCATATAGGTTTTTTTTCCATATATGAAAAATATTACAATCTGTCTCTAGTGCATTTATAATAGAGTTCACAGATCACATTTACACTCTATGTACAATAAATAAAATAAAATATACAGAAAAATAATATATATGCAATAACTAAGAATAAGATAACCTAAAAATAAATAAATAAAAAGAACACATACACAATAGTTATTATTGTAGTTATGTAGATAAGTCTTTTGTAATTAATTGAAAGTTTACAGCGTGTGTCTAGTAAGTGTTGAAGCAGCCGGAAACGTCGAGCAGTTTCTTGTCGTTTCAGTCTAGTATGAGAATTCCAAGTAAGACGTTTATCCAAGTTCCAACAATATAACTTAAATATTTTCAATCTTAAATTATATCTCCGTTTGAGATGTTCATTTCAATTTATTTTTATTTAAGTTTAAATTTCCACTGATTGTAAGTACAGATGAATTAAACTCTCATTTTTTAAAACCAATTTATTGTTCACTAATAAACTATTCATAAACATTCAATGTTTGGATATCAAACCTCACCTTCTGGAGCTTGGACGCCATTCAACTACAATTTCGATGTTCCTCCTCATCAGTTATTATTTATCTATTTTATCAACATTGTCATATTCCTTATTGAAATTTATCTTCTAAACTATTTAAAAACACGACAGAAAAATTTAATGGTTTGTTAGTTACCATTGTATTACAATTAGGTTTTAGAGAATGTATTTCGATTTTAATTAAATATGACATTATTTGTAAAATGTCAATTAATTAACAATAAACTGGCTGCTAGAAAAATAGGAAGATTTTCTTTCATCTACAATTATTAAAATCAAACATAAACAAATAATTCGATTTATGGCTATTTTGCTGGAAAACTTTATAATATTCACTATTTTCGGCAATGAAAACTTCCAGATATACAAACAATTTGTTTATTTGTTGATATACATGTTAAGTTGACGTTACGGGAATATTATTCCCATCTTCAAAGCTTAAAATTCCATACTTTCATGGAGATTTATGGCTAAAGTCTGATGCTTTCCTTTGCCATGATTTGTTATAAATTTAATAAAAATATATTACCTGGAGCATCAACATTCCTAGAACTAATGATTGGATGTCTGCTATGGCGGATACTATTGACGTTTGGATATTATATATTTTCTGAAAATACGGTGCGAATCTACTCTTTTCTCACTATTACTGTAGTCCTTGGTAGAATAAACTTTTATTATTATTAAATATAAATAGTAAAATAAAAATATTCGATTTTTTTTTACTTTACTACTATTATTTTTCACAGTACATTAAATAGTACAATAGAATACTTATACTTATCACAGAATCAAGGGATCAACAAAAACCAACAACGTTCACAAACTAGAGATACAGTATCATTACCTGCGAAAAAGTGCAAGGCCGGCTCAAATATTAAAACAAAGAAGACCAGAAATCCCACTGAAACCATACTTGGACCCGTGCGAATCATGATCTTAAACAACAAAAGCACTTACCCTCTCACTTACGAAAAAATATGCTTATTACTCGACATGACTCAGGGAGAAAATGAATCAAACGCTATTGATATCATGTCTCAGTTTACAAACAATGTAAACGGTCTGAAAACAATGCTCTCAGATATCAGAGACACAGTATCACATAGAGGGCTAAAAATCAGAACCTCAAAACTAATAAAGATTTTGAATGAGCACTCCTTGAACACTACCGAGCATTTAAAAATAACACATGGTGATAATAATAATATGGAAAATAAGAAACACTTTGCCAATCAAAATGAAAACAATCATTCAATGGAATTGTAACAGATTTTTCCGACATTTAGAGCACCTAAAAGTGACAATAAGCGAAGAGAACCCTATACTAGTTTGTCTCCAAGAAACACACTTACAAGAAAATCAAACAGTGAGATACAAAGATTACTATATATACCGAAAAGCAAAAGATCGTCATGGGAAGACTTCGTATCTTCATTAAATCAAAGCATTTCTATGAAGGAGCTCTGGAATAAAGTGAAAAGCATTGAGGGGGTCTCCAAAACAAAGAAATTGCCTGGTATAAAGAGTGGACAAGACTTTATAACTGACCCTGACGAAATCGTTAACGAAAGTGATAAAACTCTGCAACAGAGTGTAATTTAAAGGCGTCGTCAATGACCCTACAGGGTAGAGGCAACAAAATACCAAATAAATAAATAAATAGTACAATAGACATATTTAAGATAACCTTTAGCAATGGCAATGATATGATATGGATTCACACTGTACCCTCTCAAATTTACAACTTTATTAAAAATAAAATAAGTTCGATTATCCTGAAAACTAAGTTCAGTTTTGAAAAAAAAAATCATAAATTATTGGTGATTTTTTATCTTACCCCAACTATACATGCTGATTCACCATTTTTAGAAAAACTTTCTCTTTTAATAAGCTTCAAGTCCATATTAGTTGAGTTTAGGCTTTGTGTGTACCTTCTACTATTATTTTACTATTTAAAACCATAGTAGATTGGAAAAGTGTATTATTCACATCATATTTTGTCTAAACATTTTTTTTTAATTAAAATTATTTGTTAGTTAAATAAATAAAACAAATTTTAGTAACCGAATTATTCAGAGAAGAGGGCCCCTCTTTGTTAGACATCATTTTGCTGAATGCTCAGCTACTTATTAATACCAGTACCATCTATATTGCACACCAATTTAGCAACTAAAAATTACTCTCAAGTTCCAATTTTTTTCCTTATTCTTTAAAAAAATATTTTTATGGTTGGCTATTGTGTGCGAGTAATGTTGTGGTATATGAGCCCCTTCCTGCTTTGAATTTAGCACCTTATTTTGGCTAATTGCGATATATATATATATATATATATATATATATATATATATATATATATATATATATATATATATATATATATATATGTATATCGAGTATTTTAATTTTACGTTTGATCAGAACACGGAATGTTCGGAATGTGGTGGAAAATTTAATTTGTATCGATCATGAATTATAAGATATATTTCTTTCTTGAAATGTTATCTCAAGAAGAAAATAATGAAAAAAAATATTTGGAAACCGAATAAAAGCGGAAAGATGGTACAAGGCTCTACATGCTGAGGATCGAGAAGGAATATTGGCCGACATGTGGCCTGGACAGCTGGCCTAAGACGCAGTTCACACACTCGTCACTCCCTCAAATTATTATCTCCGGGTGCGGCCCAATGTTTACATTAAAAAAGGGCAGGGGGCCATTGACAAAAAATCTTAAACGATCAAGATTGATATAATCATATATTTTGATAAATTTCCACCATTTATATTTTGAAGATGCTTATATTTTAGTTTAGAAGAGTGGATGCTCGTAATTTATCTAATCTTGTGACCACGATACTGGTAACTTCTACATACACCTGTTATTTACAATTTCACCCTTCTAAAAAGCTTTCTTCTGTTCCCCACTGTCCAAATCTTTTCAGTAAAACATCACTATTTACTGATAATGTTTGCGTTACAAAAAATAAATACAAATTAAGGAAGAAAAAATTGTTAGGATTTGCAATCGAGGTTTCGGTCCAAACATGTGAGTAATCATCAGGGATAAAAATTTAAAAAAAAATTAAAGTAACATCAGAAAGTTTTTAGTTAGCAGGTTATTCAGGAAAACAAAATGGTTGCTCTATAAGCCTTTGAGTCGTTAAAGAACTATTGAAGGCGGCATCAAAGGCTACTGTTACCGGCTGTTAAGAAGATTACAACACTCAAGGAATATTTTA